AAGAATTGTCATGCTTCGTATAGATTTCATGCATAATTAACCAAACATATTTACATCAATCCTAGTAAAAATAAACTTATAATAAAAACCTTAACAATAAAACTTTAAGTCTACTACTAAATTGCCTCCTCAAGCTTCGCATTGTATGAATACTTAGGCTCTACGCATACCAAGACTAAGTTCCCGCTGTCTTCAACTCTCGAGCTCCAGCTCCTTGCTGGTACTTTGAAGACCAAGTTCTTGTGGAGCATTTTGTCTTCAACGCAGTCGAAGGTAGTCAATCTCCTTAGCTTGTTGTCCAATTCCTATTAGGAAGCTTCACTTTGTGTTCTTATTAGGGATCACTTCTAGCTCTAATGAGGAACTCCTCTTCTATTCTTTTTTTCTTTCTATTTTATTTCTCCTTGGATCTTCATAGATAGGTTACTCTTCCACTTCCGAAGTCAAGTTCACATGTTCTACTTCATTACTTAGAGAAATCACATTAGTTGAAGTTTGCATATCCTGCATCACAAAAAATACTTAAGGTCAACAGAGAATATCTTTAAAATGTTTGGATTTGTGGCTGGTTTTATATCCTTTTGAGTATCTTGGTATCCCTCTTGATGTTAGGAGCTCTAAAGTTGTTGATTATATATGATGGTTTAATTTATAAAAAGCATGCTAGATTGCATTGCTAGAGTACACTACTAGAAAACAGTCAAATTACGACGAAAATTTTCCGTTGGAAACACCCCGTTTTCCATCGGAAAACAGGATTCCGACGGAAATTCCGTCGGAACTGGTTGTTGCAATACACTTTGTCGGAAAAACGCACTTTTTCGACGAAAATTCCGTTAAAACCACTTTTCCGACGGAAATCAGTTCGTCAGAACAGGTTTTCGGGCCTGGGAAAGTCCGTCAGAAATTTCCGACGGACTATAATCTGCCGGAAAATACTAAAAAAAAAACAAAAAAAAAAGCCTATCCCCACCACCAGCCACCACCCCACACCACCAGCCCCACAAAAGCCCACTTAGCCCGTACGACCACCAACTACCCACACCACCGCACAACACCATTCCACCTAACCCAAGCCCACCCAAACCAAACCCAGATTTTAACCCTAACCCAAGCCCAATTCGACCGAACCCCCCCAACCTAAGCAAACCACCACTATATATGGCCACCGAAAACCACCTAAGCAAAAAAATTACAGATGAAAAATTAAAATCCTTAACCATTACCCACAAAACCCGAACTCCAACAATAACCACCTTCCACCACCATAAATCGTAAAAAAAAATCCAATAAAACAACAACATAAAATCAAAATTGAAAAAAAAATACATACCTTAATTCAACAACATATAACCTTGAAATTGGGTTTAAGAGGCCAAATTCGACCATAAAAACTCTAGATCTAGAGTTTTCATGGTCGAATTTGACCTGAAACCCTTTGTTTTCAGCATGACAAGAGAGAGAAAGGGCAAAAAAGATGAAAATTGTTGTCGATATTAATGCTGGTGCTATTGATGTTGGTGTTGCTGGTGTTTTTGTTGATGTCAGTGGTTGGAGAGAAGGCGCACACTACAAGAATCATGTCAAATAGTGACAGAAAAAATCCGTCGGAAACAACCCGATTTCCGTTAGAAAACCCGTCTGAACTGGTTGTCGCAATACCTTTTGTAGGAAATTGGGCCTTTTCCGATAGAATTTCCGTCAAAACACTATTTCGACGGAAATTCCGACGGAAATTCAATTCGTAGGAAGTGATTTTCAGGCACGATAAAGTCCGTCGGAAATTTCCGACGGACTGTATTCCGCCGGAGATTGGCGACAGAAATTCCGTCGGAAAATTCTTTTAAAAAAACAAAAAAAAAAAAACCCACCCCACACCACCAGCTACCACCCCACACCACCAGCCCCCCTAACCAGACCCCAATGCAACCGACCACAACCAGCACCGGTCCACCACACAATTGTAGATCTAGCCCCTATCTTACCTTCAAACACCACACCAACACTACCACACTCACACCAACCCTTTCCCACGTTCAAACACCACCACCGACACTAGCCCCTTTCCACCTTCAAACACCACCACCGACACCACCACACCAATAATGAACCCCAAAAACACAAAACTTAGCCAAAAAAAACCGAAAACTAACCCAAAAATAGGAAAATGAAGACAATAAAATCGAAAAAATACCACACAAATTAATCAAAACCACTATATCTACATATTTCACAAGAATTTCATAAGAAAATTAAAAAAGGCTAATTAAACAACAAAAATTAAAGGAAATATATAATTATACAATTATCCAATAAAATTGATAAATTAACATTACAATTACATAAAAATTAACTAGATCTACAATCTAACCTAAATTAAAACTAGATCTACAATCGGTTGACAATTCTTGCGATGGTGGCTTTGCAATTCATGTTGTTGGGCGTTGCCGGTGTTATTGTGGTCGCTGTTATTGCACGGTGGTTGCGGTGTTGTTGGTGGCGGTGATGGCAGCGAGCGATGTTGGTTGTTGTTGGTGGTGAAGGCAGTGTGGTGGCGTTGTTGGTGGTGATAGAAGACAGAGGGGATGAAAATGAAGAGGAGAGAAGAAATAGAAGAAAAAGAAAAAAAAGGAAAGGAGGACAGTAGGGGCGGATCGAGAATGAATAGGGAAAGAAAGAAGAGATGAGGAGGACCAGGAGGAGAGAGACAGAAGGAAGGAAAGAAGGAGGGATGAGAGAGAAAAAGGGGGAAAGATGAGAGGGGAAAAAAGTGGCGGAACGCGGAAGAAAGGGGATTAGGGTTAGTATATAATTTTTTTTTCTTTTTTTAAAAAATATAATTTCGACGGATTATTCCGTCGGAACGTCCAATTATTTCGACGGATTTATTTTCCGTCGAAAATTTCCGACGGATTTCCAACGGAATTTTTTAATTCGTCGGAAATATCCGTCGGAAATATTAATTTTTCCGATGGATTTTTAGGTCTGCCGGAACCAATCTGTCGCTATTTGACTTGATTCTTATAGTGGCAGGTTAAAGAGAGAGAAAGAAGAAGATAATGAGGGAGAGGAGGAGCAGGGAACGAGCGAGAAAGAAGAAGGAGAACGAGAGAGATGGAGAATGAGAACGAGTGAGAACGGAGAAGAGAAGAATGAGAGGAAAGAGGAGAGGAGAGGCGGCTAATAGAGAAGAGGGGGAAATAGAACATGGGTGTTAGGGTTTTGTTGGAACCGGGTTTTAGTTTTTTTTTAAAAAATATAAATTCCGACGGACTATAAATCCGTCGGAAAAAATAATTTCCTATGGAAATATCAGTCGAAAAGCACATATATTCCGACGGATTATTATTCCGTCGGAAATTTCCGACGGATTTGTAAAATTCGTCGGACATATCCGACGGAATTATAATCCGTCGGAAATTTCAATTTTTCCGACGGAATATTGGGTCCGTCGGAACCAGTTTGTTGCTATTTTCCTGTTTTCTAGTAGTGGCAGTAGGCATGCATTTATCTTATGCAACAAAGGTGACTCTTATCAATTCTATGCTTATGAGTCTGCATACTTATTGGGCTTATTGCTTACCGGTGCCAAAGAAAGTGAGTCTTAGAATCACTCAGCTTTGCAAGGATTTTCTTTGGGATGGGAATGCAACTTTGACTAAGGCTCCTCCCTTGGCCTGGGACTGGGATTGCAAACCCAAGGTAGCTGGTGGCCTGCTGGTTTTGTGTTAGGGATTGTATATAAATTGGAATAAGCTAAGGTAGCTTTAGGTAGTTATGTTTGGAAGATTGCTAAGAAGACTGATTCTCTTTGGGTGAAATGGGTACATTTGGTTTACATTGAGGATCAAGATTGGTAAGACTATGTTCTTGCAAAAGGTTGGAAATTGTTGTGTAAGGTGAAAGATGAGCCGAAACCTGTTTTACAGGTACAAGATGTTCAACAGATTTTGGATAGCAAAATGCTATAAATGGTTACAGGGCCACAACATGATAAAGTGGGTGGAGTCCTTAGGTGTGGAACAGGTACAATGTTCGTAAGCACTCTTTTTATAGTGTGGCTTGTTGTGCCGGGAAGGTTGAGAACAAGGGACAAGCTAGCCCAGTATGGTGTTTGTGAGGATGGTGACTGCTTGTTGTATGGACAAATTGTCACTTGTTTTTCAACTGCACCTATATATAATTGAAGGGGTGTGCTGGACGTGTGTTCATGGTTGGGTATTAATGAGCAGCAGTTTAGCATTAAGAGTACTTGGAAGGGTTGGAAAAGGAAGGGAAAGAATCCTATTCAGAAGAATTTGTGCTTGGCTATTCTAGCTGCTACTGTGTACTATATATGGTAAGTTTTTTTTTTTTTTTGAAGGAACCATGGTTTTTGGCATAAAGCTATCCCACTCACTAGTGCTTTAGCTGGAGCTATATAGAGAGAGGTAACTGGTATAGGGCAGCAACCAATCAATCACAAATGGAAGAATGCTAACAACAGATGGCTGTATCAACTCAAGGATGGAATTTGACTTCTTTTTTTTTTTGTCAGTTTGTATGTTTTTTTAGTTAGATTTGTGATGATGTAGTAGCATTGTTGTTTGAGGCATACTTGCTAAGTAGTTGTATACTTGTATACTATAGCCTTTAAAGTTTTGATTGATTTTAATATGTCTTACTTAGCAGAACAGAAAAAATCGCCGATGACTTGAAGCTATCGGAATTTAAAAAATAGCCGATGGTTTTTTGCCATGTGTAAACTGTCGGTATCCCGTTTACCGATGGCAAATCCCTTGATATTTTCTATATTCTCAACGAATTGATCTATGTTGGCCAAATATCGATGACAATCATCATTAAATGTGATAATGACATTTTTTTTGTACCGATAAATTTTAGCCATCAGTAATTGACATAATTCTTGCAGTATCTCAATTTCTCAATAACAATATTACTTTCATTTCGTATTATTTTTGAGATATAAAATATTATTTTATTACAAATAATAATAATAATAATAATAACCATTATCATATCTCTCGCTCATAATTTGCTTTTTTTAGCAAAGACATTAAATAAATAGAACGATGCCATTATTCCATCACCTCGATCTCTCATACTCACTCCATGCATAATAGATTACTAACACTATAGGAAAGCAACATAAATATGAAGTAATACATATAATAATACAAGAAGTAATTTTATTTTTATGGTCATGGACTGTAAGGGGTTATAATTCTTGCTGTGAATACCGGAGAAGTCCCCGTAGCAGTAGAAACCTCAATTTTAACGCCATCCCTGTTGGTCACTTGGTCATATCCACTATTCTCCAAATTCTTTACTACATCATTCCAACGACTATTGAAACTCCCAACCGAACCTACATCACTGTAAGCCTGCGTAAACAAATACCAAAAGCTTTTAGAAATTTACACATCGCAATAGATGCTCTTTTATTTATTTATTTTATATATAGATCGTATAAAATTGATATACGTAGTACTACGTATAACGTATAGCACTATCCATATACTGAAAATTGCGCGCGTTCTTTCCGTGAGAAACGTCTGTTCAATACATGATACAGGCGCCTGTAGGACCACACACTGTCCTATAATGGGTCTTCTCATTACCATTTAAAAAAACAAAAAAAATAGAGAAGTTGTAATACCTTGTTTTTTTTAAAAGAAGACCATGGGGTATCCCAAGCGACTAGAAAGTCACGGGATTGTCCACTTTTGTTCTTACCACGGAACACCACGGCCGCTTCGGACCCGGAGGAGGCACTAGTCTTATGGACATGGAGGAAGGATGCCCATTGGCCGTTCCCGATCTCAAAAGGGTACGGGGTCCGGCCAATGTAACCGTACCAATCTTTACTTGTGGAATAGTAAAGAGTTTCACCAGTAGCGTTGTAAATCATGCACAATGTGGAGGCTCCATTACCATAATCGCTCTTGACACCATCAACATACTTTCTGGCCTTAACGTTCTTGTCGTACTCATTGATCAGATTCATTGCTTCTCTTGCTCTATCTTCTTGGCTTTTGAATTCGTCTACATATCTAGGCATCTCATCTAACTTGTCATCATCAACCACTTGACCGAAGGGATTCGCCATTTTTCTCTTTTTTTTTTTTTTTTTTTTTTTTTTTTTTTTTTTGGTGGTTGTTTGAGAGGGGGTGAGGAAGGTTTTAAAAATCTCTCACTTGCTAGCTTTTTTGCCTATTGCTGTGCGAAGGCACCTAGTAATATTTATAATGATGTCTTTAATTAGAGGTGTCAAAATTATATCCGACTCGAAACCAAGCCAAAGAATATTCGATTTAGATTTCAACTCGAGTAATGAATACTATTATTTAGCATGACTCAAGCTTAAAAATACATCCGACTCAAATTCATGGTTCCTGATTCAGACCCGAATTGACACCTCTATGTTCAATATGCCATTTTGAAAAGATAGTGTACAAATGTACAATAGATGAGATCCGAAAATGTGAGGTTACTTGGTTCTTATCATGTAGCTCTTTATATCATGTTAGAGGACTAATTTTAACCAAAAGTTATAATGGTTAGAGTCTTGGGATTAATACAATATTGTGAGAAATATTATTCAAGTAAACTTCACAAATATTACAACATTTCATTATTTGCATGTAAATGTTTTTTTCTCTTTCTACCTCCTCATCACATTATCCCTTCCCATATTGCAATATTAGAGAAACGGAGGAAGTACTATTATCACTAATGAGAGTTCCCTAAGCAAGTAGGATGAAATTGGGATCCTATTTGCTTGGGGTGAGAATCGAACCCATTTTACAGAAGGGTTTCCAACCAGCTAGACTAACCTTTATTTTCAATTTATAACATAGTAGTAGTATATATATGAACTATTAAGCTCTATATCTTCACACATTAAGCCAAGGTGAAAAAGGTGCTAAGTAGCTTGTAACAATAATTGAGAGAAGGAAAAAAAAAAACCGATTTTAATCGAGAATGAATCCCTTTGGTTCTCCAATTACTGATCAAACCTTGAAACAAATGTCAAAGTATAGAGGCAAAGAAATAACACAAGAAGATAGAGCGAGAGAGGCAATGAGATTGATCCATGCCGAAGACAAGAACATTAGCGCTCTTGAACATGTGCTCGGTCTTAAGTCCGGCTATGGTAACGGAGTTTGCACATTATGCCTTGTGTATAATGGTACCGGGGATACCCTTAAACTTGTAGAAAAGAAGGATTGGTTGGGTTATGTCTATAAGGAGAACCCACCCAATTCCTTTCAAAACGGTCAGTGGCTCGCCTTCTTACACGCCCACCCAACATCACAGGCTTATGGCTCGGAAGCTGCTCGGGTGTATCGCGGTAAGAACATCAAAGGAGAGGTTCGTGACTACATGATAGCTTGGTGCACCCCTTGGAGTACCAGCCAAAACTCGGTATGTAAATAATATCTGTATCAATTTAACTACACTAACATATGTTTTTTATAAGGAGTTTTGTTAATTTTTGTACGTTTGATTGTAAACATATTAAATGTAGGCTTATACTGAGGTTCGTGAAGAAGGTCACTTTCCACAGTACTGGGATTATATCAAATCTAGTCTGCTCGAAAGGGCTAATAAAATCACAGTAGATGATGAGAGCGACAAAAATTGTGCATCAGCTGTGAGTATTGGTGGCATCACTTCACCCGAATTCATCGCAGTACTGAAGCACAAATTTACTCCAGAGCCAGCGAAAAAATGAAAATAAGATGGGATTTAAAGATCTTAAGTTATCAGGACTTTTCATATTTGTCTGTCTTAATGTAATTTTTCTTTGATCTTTGTCTGTTTTTATGTATTGTTTCTTAATGAGTTCCAGCAATAGTACGTAATAAATAGAAACAATTGTTGTGTGAAACTAAAGTCTTTCTGTTAGAGTCTATGTGAATGTTGTTTTACAAACAAAGAATGTTAAAGCATTCATTGGAGGTCTTATAAAGATAATGTTGTGGTTCTATATTTTCCCTTAAAACTTTTATAGTTATTTAATATTTTAAAGGACCAACTCAATCGAAAGTTTAAGTTAATGGTTGAATCCCAATGTTAATTTATATACTCTATTAGCCCGCTCACATGAGAACATGTTACATACATTAGGCTTGAAATGAGTATGTAATAACTTGGATCCCCATACACAATGCGAAATAAATTCCACTTGAAAGAAGGGTGTACGTGGATGAGATTTTGAACCTATGACAATTCGGTTCCACTTAAAAGACGGGTGTATGCCTAAGGCCCAAAGCTATTACCTCTTTGTCACGCTAAATATGATACCAATCATGTAAAAAGATCAACTCAACCATAAACTTAAGCTAATAGCTAAAGCCTAAATTTGGTTTATATACTCCATCTCTTTTGTGATTTCTATATGAATTCATGCTTACAGTCTTATTTTGTAATCTTAATAGTAAATCTTGATCGAGCTGTAGCAAGATATATAAAAAGAAACAATTTAGGTCATCTCATGTTTCACGAATCATGAGTTTATCTTATCTTACTCATTCCATTCTTTTTTACTCTATTCAATGGAAGACTATTAAGTAGCTACAATGAATAAAATGTATGCCACTATAATTGTTCAATCTATCTCAATCTTATAAATATTAAGGATCAATCATATCCATTCATATATAAGTTATTGATTCTTAAATGTAAATTATAAATAAAAATAATAATAATTTTTTTTATTATAAAGAGAAAATATAATTTGGAACTAATTTATTATTTTCTCCTTTTTTTTTTAAATTAATAAATAAAACTTGCTTGTAACCTTTGATGGTTTGATAAAGTTTCAAATTTCAGGTTTTCTACCTTCTACCTTCAAACTTAATCTCTATTTAATATGTAGGATTTTTGACTTTTACCACAAAAAAAAAATCAAAAAAATATTTTTTACCACCAAAACTTCTAAAACTTTTATTTTACCACCAAATAAAAAATTAAAAGTTGTTTTTTACCCGCCCTTGTGGCTCTCTAAACACCAAAAAACATGGTTAGGTTACGTATAATATAAGTTGTTATATATGTTATTCCATCAAACAATTTTCAAATATTTATCATATGATCTGGAAAAAAAAAAATTCATTGATCATACTAGTTATTATTTGTGTCTTCTTCACAATTCACATACACACCATACCACCATATAATTAACAAAATTGTTCTTCAATTTTCATGAATTTATAAGAGAGATAGAATATTAAGAGCTATGTACAAGTAAGGCTTATCAATGGAAATCCAAATGGATTAATGAGAGGAAGGAAGTGTTTGATTGTAAAATAATAAGTAACTGATGATTCAACATTACTACAAGAGAGTGAGGGATTGCTTTGTTGGTTAAAGCTTTCCTTTCAGTTTCAATGGATTTTAGGTTTGTTGATTCTCATCACTTATTCTTGTGGCTCTCTAAACAATAGAAAAATGTTTTTTTTTTTATTGCTTATTTAATTTTTTATACCCATTTTTATCTATTAAATAAGTGACATTTAATTAATACTTTTTCCGTTTTTATTTACTTGCAACACACCACTTTAACACGTACTTTAAAAGAGATATTAGACTAGGTAAATAGACAAATTAATTGATAAATTTTTACTACTGATAAGAAAAAAGTACTGAGTAATAAATAACTATGCTATAAATTTTATACTTTGTAGTTTAATTTACCCGTTTACCACTTTTCAAATAACACGCTAAAAAAGATATGTTGTAAGTATAAAAGAACAGAGGTTGTACTAAATATCAGGATATCAACGATGCAACATTCAAAAAATATTCAAATATTACTATGGCTACAAATTAGGTGGAGACATGTTGAACCACTTCGCTAGGTGGGACTGTCCAAAATAGATGTCATTTTGGATATGATTCCTCCAACTAGGCAGGGTTATCTATTTTAAACGTTACCGTACCATTAATTTGGTTTTTTAAATATGGAGTGATAAAAAAAAGAATTCTAGTCACTTGCAGTGGTGGTGGTTGTGATTGCAAAAGATCCGATTAGAATATAGGGATCCTATTACAAATGATTCTATAATTATTTGAACCAAATAGCTTTTGTCACTATTTTCAGATTTAGGTTCATAAAATTAATTGCAAAGAAAAAAGGGACCACATATAGTGTATTAGTAAAAATATAAAAATATATCTTAAATATACGAAGTATTATCCTTTACTAATTTTCAATCGTAATGTTTGAAGAGCATTACTCAGTTAGTATTCTTTCTATTTATCTTTCTATAAAACTAATTATAGCTGTAATTACTTTATCTGATAATATATATTCAAATAAATCTTACAAAACCCGGCATGTAATTAGATGACAAGGAAGTAAAACTCATCATGATTATACATTATTTTAAGTAGAAAATTTTGCCCATAAACATTATAATAATCATTGATCTTTATTTATTGACAGATATAATCATTGATCTTGTAAGGTGTAGTTATGATAAACGGGTTTGAGACACACCCGTCACAACCGTCCACTTTATAAGACCAAGGACCTTCCACCTCAAAACCATATGACAATGAGCACTACTACATTTTTTATCAAATGCAACGCCAAAAAATGAGCTATTGCAACGCCCTATTCAATGTCGTCGCAATAGATAGCCTATTGCAACGGTAGGGTTAACTAATACAATAGTCAATTATATATCATATCTACTGCAACGGTCCCTCATATACCGTAGAGCTAACACAACGGCTGCTAAAGTTTTAATATTTTTTTCTTTCCCTCCGTATTTTATACCCAAAATTTTGAAATTCTAAATTAAAGTATCCAAATATTTTAACCCCCACGGTTTTTTTTATCTCCAAATTAAAAAAAACTCCAAATTCCCCTTCTTCAATTCATTTGGTTAGGGATTCCTCCAATTTTGAAGTCCATTGAAGCACGTAGTACTCTGAATCCTTTCCTCTCTGGTCCAATGAAGCAGTACTCTGAATCCTTTACATTCAAGTTGTATTTTGAATTCTCCATTGAAGCCGTACATTAAGCTCTTCTCTGAAATGGCTTTTGGGCCTTTTGTTCTCCATTGAATAAGCTTCTCGGGTACTTTTTTTTTTCTTATAAATCATCACCGACTATCGATTTTACAATCTAGGGTTTGCCTCTTGGCTTTTGTTTTATATTCATATTTTTGATTTTAGGTAATTGATTTATAAAAAAGGATTTGTAATTGATTTGTAATCATCATCGACTATCGTATTCTAGGGTTTATGGAGGTGATGGTGGTGGTGACGATGGTCGCGGTATCCATTACGGTGCTTCGATTTCTAGGATTTTGGATTATAGCTGAGAAGAGATTTAAGACTACCACTCCTCTCCTCACTACCACATGCACGGTATTCTTTCCCTCTTCTCTCTTTAAGCTAAAAATTAATGAAGTGTTTGTCAATGTTCAAGTAAGATTTCAGCCTGATTTTGCAATTCCGATCCCTTGGAATTTGATTTTGCAAAGCTTTGGAAATAGTTTGATATTGTACTGTGTTATTGGTTTTAGCTCTTAAATTAGTTATTGCTACACCTCTATACTTGTACGTATTGTTGTTTTCTCTATTCTGTAAATTCATAATGATCTGGTAATCTTTTTTGCTCTACAGTTGTAGAATCAGATCTTGTGCTGCCATTTAACTGTCTCTAATTAAACTAATTTGGTTTGAGAAGGTATATCCTAAGCCCTCTCTCGAAGTTTCTTACATAGTTATATAGTGTATCTTAAGTCCTGTCTGCCAAATACATGAGATGTCTATAGTGGTATGAGTGGGTGCAGGAGGTGTGCGCAATAGTCTCTACAGGGTGAGTGAAGGGGTTTGTCAATCTGTGCTTGGTGAAGGTAGTGGGTCTTGTAGGTCATTTGATGGTATAGAGTGGCAGTGCTTAAACTTGGCGTCCGGTGGCCTAAATATGGTGGTTATGCTCTGTGGGGTATTGTAGGGGATGTGAGAAGATGTTGATGTAATCAGGTGGCTTTGGCGATGAGTTGGATGGTTCTAGAGGGTGTCAAGGATTGCTAGTGGTTTGGTGTCAGTATTGATAACTTAGCTTTGGAGGCAATTTATGCTTTTATAATTTATATATCATAAAAGCTTGTCAACTCTTCAAACTTAGGTCCTAGTTTTTGTGTTTTTTCTTCTGAAAGCATTCCAATTTTCCAAATGATTAAACTTGCCAAAAATTAATCTTAGTTGTAATGGATGGAATTTGGATTGGTTGAAATCCCTTTTATTGGTTTGTGTAAGCATAATGTTTGCACCTAGTTGCCCTTCTATAACTCAAAGGGTTGTGCATAAAAAGTTATGAGGTATAACTGTTTGATATAATTCTTAGTACATGTAGAGCATAATTACCATTGTCAATTATTAACACAAATGTTATGTTTTATTCTCTTGAAACTATAATCGTGTAATGATTTTATAATTGATATCAATGATATGGAATATGTCCATAAGCTTTTAATAATTGGATTTTGTGTGCCATTTCTCTGCTATCTTTTAGTTTCAGATTTCATAACTAGACAATTTTATATTTTGTATTTAGTACATACGAAGTATTTAATTCAGTTTTTATGCTTATTGATAGGGACTGCATTGTGGAGGTGGTTGAAACATTAGCCACAACACATAATATTCAAACTATTGCATAGGATGCTGCAATTAGGTGGAAGGAGATTTCTGGTTTTTGTGATCTTCTCTTCCTTAGATTTTGTATATATATATATATATATATATATATATATATATATATATATATATATATATATATATATATATATATATATATATATATATATATATATATATTAGTGTACTCTATTTCCCCACGCTTTGAGATTCATTTTTTGGCTAAATGCAAAAAACACAAAGAAATAAAGAAATATAAAGAGGAAACGGGTGTGGTTAGAAGAAGATACCAGGGAAGTCAATGACCTTGCCTTGTACTTCATATGTGATTATGTGAATAAATGGCTAAGTGAGTTTTCTTTTTCTTTTTTTTGTTGCCCTTTCTGTACTTCAGAATCACTAAATACTGATCTAGTTATGAGTATCTTGTCCAAGCTAACTTATTATTTGTTGAATACCTTGGTTTGTGTTGATCTAGGGTCTAGGGCCTTATACTGCAGTAGTAAAGGGGATAATGAAGTAAATCTTGCATATTTACCTTTTTGTTGTTACTTTCTTTCTCTTAGTGAAGTTGATAACCTGTTATATTTGTATAATAGCTCTATTAAATAATTTTTGCGGTGGTTTTGTCGGCTTACATTTACTTATCTACTAGCTCATAGGAGTATAATTCCTCCCTTAAATTTCTCCTACTCATTGATTCATCTCTTTAGCATCGTTCTCGTGGTGTATGATACATGTAGCAAAGTCAGGGACATTAGAAAATTCTCTACCTAGCAATTCTTAGCCTTGTTTCTACTTTCTTCTATGCTAGTGTTTATTCTATCGATTGTGACAATTTCTACATACCATGAATATGAATTTTGGAGATTTGATAAGGTGTAAATTGCAGGGAAGAGATAGCCTGTGATGAAGCTGAGCTCGGGGAAGAAGAATTTGCTAAAAAATGCACAACCAGCATGATCTACAAGCACAGGTAGAGTTTAATTAACACTTTCAATGGCTGTGAGTAATTGTTGCTGAGTGTCACATGAAAATAGAGATGTTAAAGTATATGGGTAAATTTCACACAGATGACTAGTCGGCTATTCTTGAGAAGGTATAATTTCTCTCTTCAGCTTGGTTCTGGCTAATCTGTTGTTTACTATGGCTGCGATTTTCTCTAAAAGCATAAATGTAAAAAGTGTCACATGAACAAAGCTGTTACAGTTTTTTGACTCCTTGCAAGGTTGCATGCTGAATTTGTGTATTGCTTAAATGAGGTTGCAGTTCTTGACTGCTCTTACCTCTTAGTGAGTTAGTTCTGGTGTTTAATTCTTGACTGCTCTTACCTCTTATTCCGTCTTGGTACCTCAGTTAGTTCAGGTGGTGCCTTTATTATGTGTAGTGAGATAATTGATGTAAATGAATGAAAGTATTGTTTGCATGCAACTTTTTCTACATCTATATTGTTATCTCCTTATGTGTGTCCTTGTGCTGTGCTAATGGAGAGGCACTAGACTCGTTTTCATGGACGGTTAGCTGGGTTGTCCCTGTTACTTTTTTTGGTCATAATCAGGCGCATTAATTTAAGCAATGTACGGGGGCATTAATTTTCTGCACCGTATTGATTTTTTTTATTTTTTTATTTTTATTTTTTTTTTTTTTTTTTTATTGATGGGAGAAGAATGATAAGGAAATTCTTGGTATAAATTTTGGCATCTTTACAGACTTACAGTTTTTAGCTTCTCTTAGGTGCACACTTCTAACAATTTTCCTACTGTGCCCCTTCCAGAAATAATGGTGGCAACTTAATTAGTTCACCTACAGTGCATGAATCGGTGCTTTTGATTCCAGAATACCTTTGACTACTACTTAGTTCTATTTCTTGTTGGTTATTTAGCTAGTACTTTGTTATATTCCGGGGTGCTATTTTGTTTTTCAGACTTGGAATGCTTATCTTTTGGTAATTAATGTGGCTACTGCCACTATAAATTAATAATATTTTCTTTTTTGTGTAAAAAAAAAAATTATTTGCTGCCATCTTTTAAACAACCATAATCTGAGCTATGCTGATTGTGGGCTTGGTCTATTATAATTTATAATTTAGTTTAATTATATTTCTTTTATTTTTTTCAATTTTACGTGTAGGTGCATGGGGAGTGAAATGGAGTGGAAGTATAGTGACTAGCCATCTAACAAATGGTGCATATATGTTGGCGACTCTTATTCAAGTTCCGGCTTTGTGAAGATTTGGATATTTCGGCTTATATATATGTTGACAATTTGTACTTTGGACGATCAAATTAATTATCTAACTTTTATTTATTATTAGTAGGGTATGTCATACCAATAATAGGCAAGTAATATTTTGTAATGTACGTATTTTGCATTATAATTATTATATATAAATGATACTTTAATTTGTTTATGTTAGTATATTTAGATTTGTACCGACTAATTAATATTATATTACCATTTCATCCCAACAAAAAAAAAAAGAAAAAAAACCCAATGATCAATCCGTTGCAGTAGATACGTACTCCTATCATTGTATTAATTAGCTTCATCCGTTGCAATAGGTTCAATTTCATCATAATTATTAGTCAGTACTCTATTGCCACGGATAAGTTATGCCGTTGCAATAGGTATTGGTCTATTGCCACGGATCAGTGGAGCTGTGGCATTAGGTGTCATATGTCGTTGCATTAGACCTACTGCAACGCCAGCAGATGCCACGGTACATGGCCGTTGCATTAGGCCTAATGCCACGGATTTTGACGCCTAATGCAACGGATTTGGGGGTTGCAATAGATAAAAAATGTAGTAGTGGAGGGAAGTAGCCCCTTAGAGTTATAAAGTGGACACGACTTTCTCTTGTCTTCAATGTGGGATACACATTCCAATATTTCTCTTCTCTTTTATACTCTTTTTAATGTGGGACAACACTTTCACTTACATGTGGGTTTTTTCATAGGCTCAACAAGTTACAAACATCAAAATGGTATAGGGTTTCTTATCTGAATGTAACTTTAGAATTTAGACAAGAATAGTGAACGTGCTTTAGTGGTTTGCTAAATCACAAACTTTTAAAAAAATCGGGTGTACAATAATTATTGCACATCCACTATAAAGATAGACCCCTAAAATAATCCAATAGTTACCCTAATATGCATAAAAGTAATCCAATACAAATAAAAATTATTAGTAAAGAATCACATTTTAAATGACTAAAATCAATTATTTGTGATTAAATGTAATTAAATTACCATTATTAAACTTTTCTTATTGTCTATTTATATAAAAATTGTATTATGTTAAAAGTTACCCAAAAAAAGGCAAAAAGTTACCCTAAAATTAGGTAAAAGTTACCCTTATACTGCTCGATGTACAGTAAAATTAGTGTAAACCGGGTGTATACAAAAGTTTTTGCTAAATTATTGTATGTTATGATAATGATAATACTATAATCTAGTGGTAATATATATATATATATATATATATATATATATATATATATATATATATATATATATATATATATATATATATATATATATATTGTTGCTGTTTTGAAAGCCACAAGATCGAGTGATGAGAATCAATTCCAGGATCACCTAAAATCGGGAGGAGAGCTCTAACCACTTTAACTATCGGTCACTCTCATCTTATTATCCTGCTTTATAATTTTGTTGTAACCAGCTACCGCAATGATAGTTGCCTAATCTAGGTTGTATCTAGCTATAAATACCTATCGAGTCTATGAGAATAAAGTACAACACGTTTTGTGTGCTGTTGATCACACCATGTGACCATTTGTAAAAAAAAAAAAACAACGTAGCCCCTATAACACTGATCGAGTAATCCCTACAAGAATGACCGAGTAACCCCCTATAATGCTAATCAAGTAACTCTTACAACATTACAACACTGATGAAATAACCCCTATATGTAACACTCAATAAATACCTTCTATAACATTAATAAAATAATTTCCATGATAATTTATGACCACATGATGTGACTAGCCAAATAAAGTAACCTTTTCTCTCTAATTTCTACAACGTATATATTATAAGAATGGTGAAGTAACCATACATGTTATCAACCTCAATTCAATCCCATTTTACTTTATTTATTTATTAATTTATTTTGAGCGTACTAATCTACCTACCATATTCATTTTTGATAAATTATTATTTCTCTTTACCTTTTCTTGCATTAGGTCTCAAATTCCGAGGCCCATCTTTATCTTTGCATTTTGACTCCCTTAAATCACCATGTAAAATTATAATGGAACAAGTAAAATAAGTGCAATTTCTATATTACTCTTGGAGTTGGAGTACCATGCATAAGGTATTCCGGGTTAATAAAATTTATGTTATTTTGATGTTAACTTTATATTATTTTAATTTATATACTTTTTTCGTTGTTTTAGTTGACACTGTTTGACTTTCACACTATTCACACAATGCGGCTTGACTCGTTTTTGTGGTTTATAGATATGATAGAACAAATTCATGTGGGATCTTTTTTGAATCGTTACAATATATATTTTATTAATATCCACTTTTTATGATTTTATGATGTTGATAATTAGAAATATTAATCGTTAAAAACATGCATTGGCAAGCGTGGTGAAAGATGTCAACTAAAAAAACTGAGGAAATATATGTTATATTAAAATAAGTACATGTTATTTTATACTTGCATTTTTTTTATTTTGTTTTCTTTGTAATTTATATTCAACATCAATCATTTCATTGTAGCCCAAGTTTATAAAATTCATGTTATTTTGATATGAACTTCTTATTGTCTAGGCAAGTAGGCATGCAATGGACTAGGGATTTGTTTAATATGTCTGCAATCAAAAGCACCTAAGTCACCCCAGTTATACCATGACACTTAGATTATATTTTTTATGGTGATACTTAGATTATAATTGAGTTCACCTGAAATTACTTTTAAATTTTTTTTTTTTTAAAGTTATCTCAGATTTGATAAAAAAAAAATAATAATAAAGTTAAGATATGATCAAATTAGAATAACTTTATTTGCCATGTCAGCAATCCACTAACACATACATTAACCAATCAAAATTATTTGATTCTTTAAACACCCAATTACATTAATTGTTCATGAATTATGAAAATTATTCGCCTTATAATTATGTTAGGAAATATTCAATATGGATCATTTTGAAACGCCAAAATAATATATGGGACTAACAAAATAAAACGGAGGAAGTATTACCTAACAAAGATAAGCGTACATACATGGTCAAAATTAGTCAAATTAGACGAATAGAATAGATCAGAAAATTAAGTTGAGATCTGACCAAATTAGAAAGCAAAATTAAGTTGAGATCTGAATCAACAACACAACGTTTACCTTCAATTTTATTGTGAAATAAACATACACCAGTACATAAGAGACATAATTTAGCAATAATCCAGAAATCACATTAACTTGCATACATTTATTTATTTATAGGAGAGTTGCATTTATCACTCAGCATATGGACCGTACATCGTTGAATTAAAACTAATTCAACTGTCGTGTGAGATCTCATTTGCAATGGCCATACCATTAGGCATAGTAGCTGAATAAAACTTGAGATCATCCAAGTTCGGCGGCACTTTACCACCAGTCCCTAAAATGAGTTTAAGAATCGCACCAGTCGCGGCAGCAAAGAGAATGCCGACCACAGCACCAACCACGAACCCAGCCATCGAAACCATCAGAACACCTAATTGTGCATTTGCTACTACAGTTCCTACTGCAGAGCTAACAGCCACATTTACAGCATATGAGACTGCTCCTGAAAGCACTGACACGGCGCTGTTTAACGCAGACTCAAGCTTGTGCTCAGCTGTGAAGATGTCCCACGCCATTATGCCTGCAGTTACTGCCATCGTCGCAACCCCACCTGCTGTTGCGCCTGGAGGCTTGCTCCTCTTGTACATGGTTGGGATCTTTGCGCGCCCTGATTCTACTATGATGCTGTTGTATACCTGTTTGATGGAATCATGTTGATCTATATCAGTAGAACTAAATCAAACAAACGAACAAGTTGTTAATTTGACTGTAACCCCGGTTACACAATCCCTGACTAAGTATCCTCGAGTAATCCCTGACCGACTGAGTAACCCCATCCAGCCACAGTGGCCAATCGCATATGAAAATATGTGAAAATACATTTAAATTATTGACCACTTGATTAGTGCCAAATAAAAGACAATATATTCTCTGTTGTTCAACAGAACTAGTAGCAAATTAATCAAAATATTTTAAACAAATACAAATATATTATTCGAAGTAGTAGTTACCTCAAGCTTTTGGTCTTCTTCCAAAAATTCAAATTCATCTTTATATCCAAGCTTGTTCTTGTGCCTGAATTTTATATTTATGTCAAGAAAAATAGATACTTATATTAACTAGTACTGTATAAACACGTCAACAATTATTGTAGTTATAGAGAAACAACATGTTATCAAAGGGCTGGATCTGGATTGTTGTACCTGCTAACAAGATTTGGAAACTCAATGCCCTCTAGCTTGAGAGCATCAGAGTAAGCCTTAGAGTGAGCACGAGACGTGCCACTTCGCAAGTTTGTAACATATTCAAACATAGATGTCTTGTAATAAGACACTTCCTCAGCAAAACCTTCTATATCATTGACACCCCTGGAATCAACCGTATTAAGTTCAGTAGCCATGTCGTCGAAGTGTGTCTTAAGGCTTTCGACGACAGTCACTCGCATACCACAGTTCTGAATACACTGCAGGCCCATGTTTACACCATACTTGACATAATCTTGAATATCTGTTGCTATGTTCGCCTTCACCTTGTCAGTGTCCCTTGTTGCCTCATGCTTGTCGCGTAAATCAGTACTTGTTTGTAGCAGTGTGACAACAATGTCGTAAGCATTGTTGCATTCTTCGAGGTACTTGGCTCGATCAGGCTCCGATTTGATGCTTTGACTGAGTGGCTCTTCCTGATTCCTCAGTACTTTTGCAAGCTTTCGTAGTTGTTTGTCCTCCATCAACAACAGAAGATCGTCCTGTGCTCGTACCTCGGCCATTTTATATTTTGCTTTTTGATACTTTACTGATACAATTTCATGAAAATGAAAGATCAAACTTGTTAAGATTAATATAATACAATAATTAATTAATCGTACTTGAACACAAACACTATGAACATCTTATCAATGGATTTTAATCATGTTGTAGTAATTTTAGTGATTAAGTAATTTAGTCAAGGCGTTGCCTCCACTTTCTTTCAAATTAGAAAAACAGAGAAAAAAGTAGAGCAACTTACTAAGGCAACAGAAAAGAAAGCAGAATGTGATGAGAAGTGTTGGAAAGTAGTAGCTATTACTCAACTACTCACTCTAGCACGTTATTTATACTAACCTACGAAAACATAACTACATTAGGCAGAATACTAACCTAAGATAGCATGATTTTATGCTACATTAGGGTGATTAGCTGTCTTAATTTTTTGCTGCGTAAAGTAAAACACAACTACATACATTAAGCAGAATACTAACCTAACTACTAAATATAGTACTGATAGGAAAGGGAAAAAAAAAAAAAAAAAAGTAACTCCGATTTCAAGAGATTCAAATTTTATTCGGATTTTGCCAAAGTTTTTGTATACACAATCTAGGTGTAGAGTAATTTTAGTGTACACTACCAAATAAAAAAAATAATAAATATTAATAAATGCATATAATTACCAACGGTTTAATCTGTCATCACAAAAGTAAATGATAAATATATATAGCCCTTAATAAGCACTGAATATCCCTCCTAAAATAGAATTAAGTTAGAAATTCATGATAAAATCACGCGTAGATAGGTATAACTAGGGGTGAGCAAAAATTCCGAGTATCCGAAATTAGAGCCGGAATCGGTTAGGAACCGGCAGTCCAGAATAGGAATTGGACCCTGTGGCATGGGCGGATCTAGGGGGGGTTCAAGGGGGTTCATTGAACCCCCAGGTTTCTTGAAAAAAAATTATAAGTTTTGATATTTTTTTTTTAAAAAAAGAAAAAAATAAGGTTAAAATAATTTTTTGTAAAGTAAATAAACAAATATGTAACTCTGGTAAATTGGTAAAAGAGTGACTAATAGAGTAGTGAGGCTCCTCTTGATCATGGGTTCAAGACCAGCCACCCTCATTTTTTTGCTTTGTTTTGTTTTGTTTTTTTTTTCCCCCTTTTGATTTCTTCCGTTGTTCTTCATGAGTTAGTGCATAGTTGGTTCAATAATTTTAGGAGTAGTATGTTGGTCATTTTGTTAAGTTAGAGAGTCAAATGAATTTAGAAGTTAATGAGTTTATTTAGTGGGTTTAATCATGGCATTATACTTTCAGTTTTTTAGCTTATTATTTGTTGTTTGTTAGCCTACATATATGGCTCTTGTATTTAGTGAATTAAGCATGAAGAAATATTATGAGTTCTTTATTTTACTTGCTTCATACTTATCTAATATTATTATTGTTTTTATCCTTTAGCACGTATTAGTTTCAACAGTCCCCTTATTCCTCTACTCCTCTTAATTATTAAATCTTTATTTGTTTGTAAATTAGTGATAATTAGATTAATTATTGATTTGTTTAATTAGTTTTGATATATTGTGACGTACAAATTGAATTTAGAAACTTAGAATTTAAAATTTTTACTTGGTCTTTTAATTGATAATTAGAAAAAAAATTCATTGTCAAATTTGTGTTTATTGGGGACTTGGGATTTTTGTTTTTCGTGTAATATTCATTTTTTGCAATATAATTATAGATTTATCATTTATAGAAGTAGTAATGTTTTAGCACGCTTTCAAAGTATAAAACTCGAAGAATTCTTTTGTAGGTATTTTTTTAATTTTTTATTTATTTATTTATTATTTTGCAACTGTTAAATCCATCAATTTGTAATAAAAAATTTGAACTTATATATTGAATATTTAATTAATATATGAGCATCGTTTGTTTTTTAAGATTCCGAACCCACAGTTCGGAATTCCTGGATACGCCACTGCCCGGTGATTCCAATTTCGGGTAATAAATTAAGGACCCAGTTATAACCAATTCCTATTCCAAATCTCAACTTTTTGGAACTGGAACCGGTTGGGTACTCGGTTACCTAATATATGCTAAACTAAATAAATTTTAAATAATAAAAATATGTTGAATGTATCTAATTTGTAAATTAAAAAAGTATTATTAATACCTAACATAAATACAAATAGCTTAATGCATATATAAATATAAGTATTAAACACTAAAAATGAACCTAACTACAATTAGAATTATAATGTATATTATATTTGAACAATTACATACATAAGTGGGTACCCACCGGAACCGGTACCCGGTGGTTCCAATACCAATTCCTATATTTTAGGACCCAGTTGAACCAATTCCAATTCCGGATCCGAATTTTAGGATCCGGTTCCAACCAATTCCAAGTCCGTGTCCTAAAATTTTGACCGGGTACCCGGTTTTCTCACCCCTAGGTATAACTGTTAATTTATCCTCAGTCTTTTCCTTTTTTACTTTTTTTATTTTTTATGTTAAGAGCTATGTTTATCAATTTCCTTAGGAAAATTCTACTATGGTCCATTTCAAATGGACTACCACTATACTTTAATCTCATTGGATGATTTTATCTTTTTTTTAAAGCATGGTCAAACCTTAAATTAGGTAATTTCTTTTTTTAATTTATTTTTTATTCTTTTTTGTTTTTTCAAAATTTAATAACTGTATTTCCAAAATTCATTTTATAATTTTCAAAATTTATTTATTAAATTCAGTTTTTAATTAAATTAAAAAACAATATTAAATTAATAAAACAAAAATAAAAAAAAATTCATCAAAGTTCTTCGTAGTTCTTCGTAGTTCATCAATGTCATCGACATTCTTCAACGTTCTACAATTTTGTGCAACAATCAATGAATTTCTCAACGAAATTAAGAGTTACAGGCGTGCATCGATGAAGAAACCGATTGAGAAGACCAGCATTCGTGCGTGGATGGAGAAAACGAAATAAGATTTAAAATCCCGATTCATAGCGGCGTTAATTAGAAAAAAATTGTACATTATAAATCATCGGATGCAAAAACATCGAATTTATGTATTCGATCAAAAAAATTTTGATTTATTTCGTTGATATAGGTTATTCAAGAAAAACATATAAGAAACGGTATATTTTTTCTTCGAAACGTTGTTTGATCCAAAATATTTGAAAACAAATTACAATTCGTGTTTGTGTGTAAGGTGTTAGTTGAATGATTCAAAATTAGTAGTGGCTAAATTTTAGAAGTAGTTGTTTAATGAATTTAGTCTTTAATAAGTTATAGATGCTTAATATTATCTAGGAGTATGCCGTTAGTGGTGAGCTTAGTCAGCCTATTTTTATGTAGTTTAATCTTGGGATTATCCCCTGATTCTTAGGCTTAGTTTGTTAACTATGTTTCCTATATATTGTGTAACTTGCATTGAGTGGAATAAAAAAAAATATGTATTATCATTTTCTCCTCTTGCTACTTTGGTTTATTAGCCTTTTGATATTTTATTTATTTCAACATGGTATCCGAGCTAATCCGGGTTCCGATCCTAAACCAAAATTAAATGTCGTGAGTGTCGTGAGATTGTTTTTGAGTGAAACCAAAAGATTAAGTCAATATTTTATTTTTATTAGTGCATGATTGTTGTAGTATTTTTGTGGGTAAGTTTTTTGAGTAAGTATGGCAACCAATGGTTCAAATGCATATACACAACCCTTAATTCCAATTTTCAAAGGTGAAAAATATCATCTTTGGAGTATCAAAATGCAAACAATGTTCAAATCTCAAGAGTTGTGGGATATTGTCAAGTGTGGGTATGTAGAACCGACGGAGTCGCCGGCGGAGCCAAATCAAAAGCTGCGTGAAAATCGAAAAAGGGATGCGAAGGCATTGTTTTTTATTCAATCGGGAGTAGATGATGATATTTTTCCTAGAATTTCATCTGCAAAGACATCCAAGCAGGCATGGGATATCCTAAAAACTGAGTATAGGGGTGATAGTAAGGTAATATCTGTCTAATTACAAAACCTTCGTCGTAATTTTGAGTCACTATTAATGAAAGAAAAAGAGTCGGTGCAAGAATATTTGTCTAGAGTACAAATATTGTTAACCAAATGAGATCATTTGGTGAAAATATTAGTGATCAAACTGTTGTGTGTAAGGTGTTAAGGAGTTTAAACCCTAATTTCAATCATGTTGTTGCGGCAATTGAAGAGTCTAAAGACATGTCTAATTATAGTTTTGATGAATTAATGGGTTCCCTTATAGCTCATGAAGATAGAATTTCAAAGTCTCATGAGAATGAAGTAGATGAAAAAGCCTTTCAAGTTGAAGGACAAATGTCAAATGGAAGGTATTATGAGGGTAGTCGAGGTCGTGATGGAAGTGGTCGTGGTTATGGTCGTGGTCACGGTCGTGGTCGTGAAGAAAATGATAGTGGTGATCAATTTGAAGGTCAACGTTCATCCATGAGTAGAGTCCAATGCTATTATTGCAAGAGGTACGGTCACAAAGAAGATTGTTGTTGGGATAAGCAAAGGGACGAGCAAGGTGGTGGACAAAACAGCTATGCTCAAAAGGTCGAAGAAGAAGAGACCAAGCTCTTCTAAAATCGAGTGTCGTGGTTATGTCGTGAAAGTCGTGGTTGTGGTGCCTTGAGTGTCGTGAGTCAATGCATGTCGAGCTCAAGGTCGTATTTGCATGTTCATGGTCGTGGTTGTGTAAGTTGTATCTTGGTAGTCCGTAGTCCAGTTCAGTAATTTTGAATCAAGGGGGAATGTTAGTTGAATGATTCAAAATTAGTAGTGGCTAAATTTTAGAAGTAGTTGTTTAATGAATTTAGTCTTTAATAAGTTATAGATGCTTAATATTATCTAGGAGTATGCCGTTAGTGGTGAGCTTAGTCAGCCTATTTTTTTGTAGTTTAATCTTGGGATTATCCCCTGATTCTTAGGCTTAGTTTGTTAACTATGTTTCCTATAAATTGTGTAACTTGCATTGAGTGGAATAAAAAAAATATGTATTATCATTTTCTCCTCTTGCTACTTTCGTTTATTAGCCTTTTGATATTTTATTTATTTCAACATAAGGAATTCACATACGTACAAATTAGACATTACCTATTATATGCATCTTAAATATTAAATGGCTATGCCCCTAAGTTATGTTGGACATTACTATTTAATTTAAATTAACGTGCGACCAATTGTTTTAAATTATACCTATACATACAAAAATTAAATTCAATCTTGTCAAAAAAAAAAAAATTTAATTCAATCACCAATTATAAAAGGATATCTTTTAACTTAGAAATATTATTTAAAAACATTTCAATCACCAATTATAAAAGGACAGTTTCTAACAATTATAATCCCCCCTTGTTTAGGGAATGAATATAAACTGTATTTATGGAAAAGGAATT